TTGCACTGTTGTGTTTAAAAACAATAAAAATCTTGTATGCCATAAATATACATATATTGAAAGTAATCCAAAAGAAGAAGAAAAGACACATCCTATTTTCCTATTTTAGGCCAACAAAACAAAATAAAGCCTTTAACCTGACGTATGTATCAGGCCACTTCTCATTTCCTTTCAAGCATGTTCCACAAACCACTTCTAATCATACAGAATCAAAATCAAGCAAAGTGATGAAAGGTAAATCTTTGATATTTTTTTTCCATACTATATTTCTTATAAGAGTACTTTGATTTATTTCCAGAGGAGGAATTAGGGTCTTAATCACAATTAGCATACTTGGGAGTGTTGTGTTAAATGTGAATTTGAGGGTTGTCTTTTTGTATATTTTAAGAAATAAAACCCAGAGAGCTATGTGATAAGATTAGGTACAATTTCTGGAGTTTGCTTTGCTAAAATTACAGGTTAATGTTATCTGAATTTGCAATTTGATTTGAATTTGAGCTGTGTGAAATGTTTGCGGTGGAACTTGAAGCTGAAAATATATCTGGTTTGAGTATTTGAAAGAAATACTTAGTCTGTGTGCACACATTTCAAACGAACCTGAGCTGAATTATGCATTTGCATTGAAATTACTTGAAGAGTTTACCTGCAGCTTAAAATGAAAGCTGGTTCAGGCACATGTAATAAATTTCACTTTGAGCTTCAAGACACTTTTGAACCTAATCCAGGAAACAAATCTCAGCTGGTTTAAACTGGTTGTGTCCCACCAAAGTACCCCCATATAGACACTGCTTGTACTGAAAGACTGGGACTCTACGGAGCTGTACCAACTGAGAAACCTGCTCAGCATATTGAAAACTGCAGTCATGAAAATACACGTGAACACATGTTTGCACGTAAATGTTTGAACAGATTTCCTCCATGTTTATTCTGAATTTTGAACCATAGGAAAATTTTTCATTTTCTTCGCTGCAAAAGTTTAAACAGCTTTAAGGAATTATGTATTTATTTTCCATTTGAGGCTTGTGGTCATTAGAAATATTCTTCCAAAGATACTGCAGTACAAATTGAACTTCACAGCCTAAAACAACGTCTTCAGTTGGGCCAGGGGGAATAATCAGCAGCTAAAGGAGAGAGAAAAACAGATCAGTTTTCACTGAAAGGTTGTCGTGACACACAACAGGTAATGTGGCACCCTGCTGCTGCACTATTAGGAGTAGGAGGTGGACGGGACACAGCTTCCGTTCCTTTGGCAGATGTAGGCAATATATTTCACTCCATTTATTTCGAGAAACACATCACTTAATAAATTGTTTCTTTATGGAGTCATTCAAATAATTCACAAAAGGCCAGAAATAAAATCCTTAATTAAGATTAAATAACAATTTGTATTAAGGGACCATTTGCATATGGTAATTTAGGAGTTAATAAATGGTAAGTAAATGTTACAAACTTATTATAGATGGTTACAAGGAACATGAGTAAACCCATTTTGTGGACTGTTATAAATACTGCCAACTAAGCTTGGGAGGTTTTGTGATTGAGCTTGTGGAGATTTTTTGCTTGAGTTTTGTCAGTGTGTTTGAACATCACTTTTGAACATTACATTCAGTTAGTTCCAAAATGAAGCAAATGGTCTAAGCTAATAGCTAATAAAAGCTATTCCAAAAAGAGAAAAGAGTCACTCAGAGGGCTCTAACATGAGTTTAACACACAAAAAAGCTGGAGCATCTAAAAGATTTTGGCCAAGCAGTTGTGTGCAGCTCTGTCATGGGGCCTGCTGACTTGCAGTGTTGAGTCCTTGGCAAGTGCCAGCACTCCCAGGGTTGCTCTTCTTTCTAGGTCCTCCTTGCAGTGTGGCAACAGCACCCCCCAGCAGCGGAGGTCAAGGCCCTGGCAGAGGACAGCTCAGAGTGCCCCATACCTCCCAGGCTTGGCCACTCGTGGCACTGGTCACCCCGCTCACAGTGCCCTTGACATGGAGTGGGTAAGCAGAGGTGCTGCCAAGTGCCACTGCTAACGTAGCGAACTCATGAAAGGGAAAAGCAGATGGAGATATAATAGCCAACAGGTCAGCTATGCTAACAGCTGAACCACCTGAATATCACCCTTCCTTTCTGTATAACGTGAGTTATACACCCTGCTGCACCTTCTCAACATCTCCTTATACTGATGCTTTCCAGAATAACAAGAGCAGAATAAAAGTCCTCATTTCTGCGCTGCACCATACGTTCCCTTCAGTCTTTTTCTTTCTTTGCGGGGGTGTGTGGCATTTCTGGGGTTCTGAATGAACCTGCCTGACCTGCTAGTGTATAGAAATCACTATCTGGACAGCTAGAAATGACCATATGATTGGATTGGATTGCAGACTTTGAAAAGATCTTTTGTTGTTTTGTTTGGTTGGTTTTTGTGGTGCCACAGATCAATTTCATTATCATAATAAGATACTCCAGGCTGTACTTTGTTGCCTCATAATCAAATCTTTGTGCAGCTGAGGACACTTATGTATCTGCATCATGTCTCTCACTCCAGCCCAGACATGCAATTGTGACCAAACAGCAAGCCCCTTAGCGTCCAAATCGTCCACACCTTATTATACTTGTCCTCAAACTTCTTTGAAAGCACCTACAAACTTGTCAATGTACAAAACAAAAGCCAAATTGTACTTGTCATATCATTTTCATTAGTCTGTGTCCCAAAACAATTGAGGGTACTAACAGAAATGTAGACAGCTCAAACTGATAAGGTTTAATCTGGGTAATCTTTTAATTTCTTTCCTAGCAAACGGGACTGAAATAAACTGGGACTGTTTCCTTCCATCTGAATGACTATGATATTCTTCGTAGGACGGTTTTGACTTTCAAGCAGTTCTGTCCCTAATTTATACATCAGTCACCAGCAACCAACATTGGGCCAAAATTGACAATTGCATTTGTTTTCAATTGTCACTTTTCTGTCAAGCAGCCAAATTTGCTTGGTTGACTTCATTTGCAGTCCTGACGGGATCTCAGGCCTTAAGTTTCAGATGAGTCGCTGAAGATTCCTTGCAAGTATTGTAAAGTAACAGTTGCTGAATGCTGCCAGAATTTGTACCTCCATCTGCTAAGGTTTGCTTTTATTTTTAATTCATGTGAAGTGAATTCACACTTCTCTGCAGAAGTGTCTGACCTTAAACTAGGTTGAAGTGGGACTGTGAAGCACTGATGGGTATCTGCCATTGAGTTACAGTTTTCAAGTGCAAGGACAGTATCTGCTTTCAGAATCACTTGATCACTGAGGTTTCTACTCAGCTGTGTATTCTCTGGAACGGTGTATTGCTACCACCAAAATACAGAATTCCTTTGTTGCAAATGATACCTGACTCAGGACTGCTAAAATATATGGGCTAAAACTGCCACCGCATATTCTAGACAGCGTTCTTCCTTTCAGTGAATTAGAAGAACGACTACTTCAAATAGATTCCTTAAAAAGTAGTAATAATAATCCTTGCAATATTTTTTGTATCCTACAAGGCGTTTGTGCTGCCTCTGAACTTCCTGTAACTCATATAAATCCAACCTGCCCCTGATGCTGGCAAGGGGATTCGGTTTAAAAATCTCTTTTTATCATTCCAACAGTAGAATATTGAATTAACATCACAAGTCTGGCAAAGCTTCTTAGGCTGAAATAACTAAGCTAAATATCATTTTTATCAATTTGTTTTGGAAAATGGAAACACTAATTATTTATGGGGTTTTGCGCGATTTCATGACATGCAATTTCATTTCCAACAGGTCACATAACTATACTCCAGGGGATGGGATATGCATATCCAGGGCACAAACCCAAGCCCCTTCATACTAAAAAGCTTGGATGATTCTTAAGGATAAACTTTGCTTTTTCAGATTCTGATCCCTTCTCTCACCAGTTTTGATGAATTGTAAACGTGTTCATGCATGTGTGCAGGTGTAAGATAATATATGTTTTCTTCAGCCATTTTCATCGTGACTTTCATTTAAATGACCTCTACGATGGAGATTTTCAAAGGGAGTAAAGCAGAGCCAACTTTCTGTGGCTCTGTTAGAAAGGTGTGGTCTTCCTAGCTTAAGCTGCTTCTCTTTTCTCCAGGAAAAATACTTTGAACGACACTGAAGGGGGGAAAAAAAAATAAAAAAAGGAAAAAGAAAAACAATCCTGCCCTGAACAGTCGTTATTGTTTTTGTTTTTATACAATCTTTTTTTCCATTTCAAGTGTTCTGACTTCAGCTGGAGTTTCTACCTTCCTTCTAATATCAAATTATTCTTTATTGGAAAGATACTATTGGTTAGGTGTAAAATCAGTGTGTGAAAATTATATTTAGTAATTAAAACAGAAGATTATGGAAGACTACACTGCTGACCATTGCAGAAACAATTTCATATAACTGTATTTTTTCTTACATTAAATTATAGCTGATATGATTTAAATGAATCCATCTTTTCTTCTATTTGTATCGTGACCTGCCTTAACTTATGCAGTATCTTGTCCCAAGGTAAAAACAAAAAAACATAGAGTGAGAATGTTATCTTTCTAAAGGTCATGTCTCTCATGATTAATGTGTTGTTTTGAACACAAATATCACTTAGCAATTATAATGTGAACACAACTACCAAAGTTTTAAGACTGAAAGGGCTTGCTTATGTATTTATTTAGAGATATGCTACCCAAAGCCATTTGGAAAACGAATGTCTCCCGTAGGTATCCACACTTCATTCACAAATCAGACCAAAAAAGTGTAAAGGCCAGGAGTTCTTTTATATTTCCATGCTGCAACCTGTGATTTCAACCTGACATTTCCACTCTGCCTTAGATGAGTGGCTTCAGTGTTAGTTTTTATTCCATTCTTAAATACATCGTTAATAATGTGGAAGGTGAAGGGTGCAGGGGGAATGCTCATAGAATATGGATGAAGGCAGAAGGAGCTTTGTGTCTTTGGTGATCATAATTACTTTCTTTTTTTTCCTCTTTTCTTCCCCATGTACAGCCTGCAAGTGCCTCACAGACTGTCCTGAAATGCCAACTGTCTGTCAATGTCATCCATCAAGGGCAGATCAAGGATTCACTCTGACAGACATATATGGCTTCAAAGTAACGTGCCTTACATTCCATAAACTGAATTAAACACTTGTTATAAAGCGAGACGCTTCAGACCAATGTGGAATGTAGGGTAACCACCGTTTTGCTTCCTACTTATTTAATGGCTACTTTATTTACTCTGTCTATGATATATACTGATGCAGTGAATGAATCTGCTTGCCCTTTGTAGACCATGTAAATTGCCTGTGCCGGTATTAGAGTGGGTGTCACCTGGTGTGATAGCAGACTGCAATGATGTAAATGTTACTGATATTACTAGTCAAAGGAGCACAAGCTTTAAACTCAGGCATCATGGCTGTCTCTGCCTCTGGGTGACCTTAGATAAATTGTTTGTTTGCTCTCTACCTCAGTGTCCCCCAGCTGGAGCAGAGATGCAGTGTACATCCAGTTAGATAGTTGGAGTAGAAAGAGTAGAGATTCTGTACGTCCTTTGGAGACCTGTGGTTTAGAAGCTGGGTTTTGTTAACCTTTTCTAGTTTCACTATTATAAAACAGCATTTTAACAGTCATACATTTAAAAGTTATAGTAACCAAACTTGAGCTGGAAGGATAAAGGATAAATATGTTTTCTTTAACACTGTCATTCTAGTACTTAGGATTATGCACTGCATTTTTCCACAAAGGCTAGATATGAAAATACAATTTGCTGTTTTCTTATCAATATGATTAACGGAAGCCCATTTATCAGGAAGGCTCTCATGGGATTTAGCAGCTTTCCTACATATTTACTGTTCTATGTCCCGTAGAGTGAATTTTTTTTTAAAAATCTATAGAAACTACCTCCTTACCAATCTATAGAGGGGAAAGTAGTGCGTATTTGATTTGATTTTTTTTTTTTTAACTTCCATACCTATGGAATTTCTAATACCTATTAAAACACAAAAATACCTATGGAGTTTCTAGCTTGTATTATCTGCAGATACAGCCAAACATTTTTACTCTCTGTGAGATGTTGTGAAGCTGTGCCTTTTCCTCTGGATGATTTTGAACACATGATAATGGTCTCCTTCCTCAGGATGCTTAGCATAGAAACACACAGGGCCTGTCTGCATACATCCAACTGCAGACTTCATTTTGAGATTGCTTTCTTAACTTATTAAGCTATCTCAATAATTATGAGATTCTCTGTAGTGGGCCTTGCATATTATACAGCTCTCTGTGAGCAAGAACTCAGTCCAAATTCATGCTGACAGACCATACTGCTAAACAAACTGCCTCTGCTTAACTTCAGTGCCAGAGGTGTGGCTCAGCCTCCATTTGTGCTTTCCTTTCTGAGATGGGTACTATACAAAGTACCACCGAGTTTGTCAGTAAAAATCCTAATACATCAAAAGTAAATGAACACAAATCTAACAAAGCAATCTAGCAAGGTAACTTTCACATTGCAATGGTTGATAAAGCTGTCGTTCTTAAAAAATGATGTTCCATATTCATGCGTTTGTAAATAATCAATATTGTTATGCTGATTTCTCAATCAGGAACCCCCAGGATGATTTTTAAAGCACTCAGAAGTACCAAGGATGACTTCATAATCACCAGGTGGGCTGGTGCAAGGTACCTGGAGCATCTACTCAACAACTGGCTGAGAAAGTGTTAATGCTCTCCTATGCACTGAGACCTCAGCTGCACTCACTGATTGCTGAGGTTGTCAGCCCAGCAGCCCTGGTGACTTGGGAAATGTCTCCTGTGTTGTAAGGAGGAACTCTTCAGCTAGAAAGGTTTGTTACTATGTAAATTCAAATCTTTAGAGATGATCAGAAAAAGAATGAAAATAGCTTTTCCTGATACTTTTTCAGAGTTTATTTCAGACATAGCCTGAGCTGTCTGTAGCTTCTGAACTCTGTTGCTTTGCTGAGGGTAGCTGCTTTGTTAGTTTGGTAAGACTCCTAAAACTGCTGAAGGAGAGGAAACTTTCAGCTGTGAGTATAATTCAAATTCTGTTAGTGTCTTGACTCTCCTTTAACTCTGCTTTAACTTCCTCTGAATGAAATTTAAGGCAGTGGTAGAGAATGTGACCTCGTATTCTCTGCCTTGTCCTCATCCACTTTGAAACTCTACTGGCCTGTGAGGAAAAACGGAAGGAGATGGATTTTAGCCCAAAGAAAAGACAGTTGATTCTTTAAATATTTTAAAAGTTTCTGCAAAGAGGAAGGGGAACAAACTGTTCTCCTGTGCAAGTTGTGATACAAAAAGTAACATTCTCAAATTGGAACAAAACCAGATTTAAGAGGAACTTTGCAGAGAGAATGCTCTGATGACAAAGATAATTAAGGATCACATACGGAGCCAGGGGAAGTTTACTCACTGGAGGTTTTTAGAGTGGTTACAGAGCCATCTGCCAGAAGTGCTGTAGTTGATGTGGGGCAGGCAGAAGCACTGAGTGGTGTCTTCCTTTCCCCTTTTGAGGATTTAGCAATAATAACCGAAAGAAGGGGAATGCTTACATCAAACATCTGCAGCAGGGTGACCCTAGTTTCAGATCGGGTGATTCATTTATCCAAGTATAGCTCCCGTATCATGGCAGTAATGGAGGGCTCTAAGAGTACTTAGCATAAATAACGTGTGTGCATTCTATCAGCCATGGGCAGTTGTGTGTTTCAGCTAAAGAAAATGGGCACTATATTAACCCAGGACTGGACTCCAGGGAAACAGAGCATAAGGCATCAAAATGTACCCACCAGTACTTCTCACACAACACGCCTTGGGAAAGTAGTTGGCACAAGGTATGAAGGAAAAGAGGCTTATGAATGATCAGGCTCTGTGTTTTATCAGGGCTAGCTTATCCAAAAGGGCAAGATGGAATAGCCTTGTTTGGAAGCGGTGAGTTGTATTCCCCAAGGAATATGTGAAGGGGATGGTCAGGTGTTGAATATAAAGTTGTAATTAAAAGCTTTCTCACATGCCACAAAGCTCTAGCCAAGCAGGCCGAGTATTCTCTGCCACCTTCCCATCAGGCACTTGCAGTGGATGTAAGCTGATTGCTTGACCATTGGCTTAAAAATAACAAGGTTTTTTTTTAGAGTATTTGTTGGAGAGATGTGTATGTTTTTGACTTATAATAAAGTATTGCCACTTTGAAAAGGATTAGGATGATGCATATCTGTATTCAGCTGTGGTCTGGGATGGAAACTCGGATCACATGTTTTTTTTTTAGTATTTGATTAACAAAATTATCTGACAGGGTAGAGGGTTAATCTAGTTTGTTCTTCCTATGAGTAGCAAACAGATTGTAACTGGAGGTGAAGGGGTTAGTCTGTAGAATCTGCATAAGTCACACAATGTTAATTTAATAAGTTAATTTAGTTCATTTCAGTAGCAAATATTCTGCCTCCAGGAATTATCCTTTCTGTGAAAAGAGTTCTGTTTTCTATTGTCTATTAACATGATGCTTTGAGGATATTTTTGGTGGGAATGTTCAGACTTAGAGCTGTGCCCACCTGCAATGATATAACTAGCAAAGCAAATTGCATTATCCTCTCAGTAAGCATTTTAGTTCTTTATTGTTTTAACCTGAGTTCCTGTAAATCAGCCAGAGCAATCAGTTTTAATGACTCCTCTAAGAGAAAAACAAACAGCAATGGAAAAGCTCTGGGGTTTTTTCAGCTTAATCCAGAGAAAAAGAGAAGAGACACTGCTTTTTCCCTCATCAAAACCCCTGGTGCATAACAAATTCTCATTGCTTGCCCTACGCTAGAGGTTATGAACTTCCTGAGTGTATACCAAAGTGGAGAGGTTTTTTCAGTGTCTGCTGTGAACGACAGTCATGCAACAATCTGCTCAAAGAACTGCACCATCAGTAGGGAACAAGGTGCCCGTGGTCATCAGTATTCTGATTCTGGTGATCCCCAAATAAGTCTGTATTAATAAAGTGCTGAGCTTGCTTGTACTGAAACCCAGTACATGATTTCTCAGCTTATCTCAATTGAGCCATCCTTTCTGCCAACCACCCCTACAAAGATGAATTTCTGTGAGATGCTTGGGTTTCAAAAAGAGAAACAAATTGGAAAACCTCAAGGACTGGATGTAAAAGCAAGATGAGTAACTGACTTCTTTCTTATTGCCAGGCTTCTGTTTCTTCCAGTGCTGGGGAAATCCCTCAGTAGTAGTGCTCATGGCCCTAAAGAGAAATGGCAAAACCAATGAATTGTTTAGGTCTGCCAGCATCCGTTCTTTTCTCAGCAGACAGAATGTCTCAGTTCTTGGATTATAAAGATTATATGTCACAACCATAGAATTATAAAGTAGTTGAAGCTGGAAGGGACCACAGAAATCCCTATATACGTCTTGTAGATGTTCTAAAAGTAATGGGTAAAAGTAATTGGATTCTAAATCTGGTCATTTATTTAGCTGTTAGATGACTAGAAGACAACATTTTGGGAGGCTTCAGGCCAGAAGCCCTGTTTCTCTAGGAATGGGTGAAAAAGTAAAGTGACAGCCTAAAAATTGAAAACAATGTTAAGAAAGGAAGAAAACAGTAGGAAAGGGGAAAAGGCTTTAAAGATCTTCTTCCACTTGAGAAGTAATAAGGTATGGGGAAAATAGACTATTCTTGTTTCCAATTCTTTCCAGTTTCTCTATTAATACAGTACCTCCTTCTTTGAAAACTACCTTCCCTCTGTCCTGAGACAGTTGTGTTACAACTACTGCCTCAGAGACACCTTAAAGATGAAAACCACATTAAAACCACTTAGTTATAGCATAAGGTTAGCAGCCTTAGTCGGTAGCAGTGGTCGGTATATGGCGTTGTTACTCAGCAGAAACAATCTTGCAGCCTGTTTAATTTCAGATTTTTCCATCTCTACTTCCTAATCCTTCTCCCCAGCCACAATACTCCAACCACCACCAGAGAGACAGCAGTTCTGCAGCTGGTCCTAATGGATGTGCGTGTTAATTGGCTAGCTAATGTCTGCCAAGTAAACTCTGAGGACCAAAGCAAGCCTGCCTCACCCTCATCTGGGGCGCTGCTCTGAATCTCTTAGCTGTTCATTTATGGGTCTTCACAAAATCTGTAGGAACCGCAATGGCAAGGCAGAGATGACAGACAAGTGGCAAACTCTGTTTCCAGAGGACGTCTGAGTAAAAAGTTTTTAAGAACAGCATTTCCTCCTAAAACTTCAGTGTCAGCGGTGGATCATGGTTGCTGTGCAAAATCTATGTTCCCTACTGATATGGTGTTTGGGATTCTGAAACAATTCTACTGGTGGTGGACATCTCAGTGCTCAGACTAGTTCTGGATAATGATGTGTATATATATATATATATATATATATATATATATAAAAGTCACATCTATATGTTTGCTTAATTAAGATGTAAAGAAGCTAAATCAGGTCCTGAGGGCCCAGTAGTGGTCTGAGGAAGAAGAAAAGTAATTGCCGTGACACACTGTTGTCTTATGTGTACTGTTCACCTGTGTGGTTTAATCTCTCCAGGAATATATAGGAGCACAACACTTTACACCGAGCACAGTGACAAAAAAAAAAAAAAAAAAAAAAAAATTGATTTCTGGTAATTAGCTATTTGGTTAAGTTTCTTTCCTATCACACCTCTCTATGTGAGTTCGCTATTAGCAAGGAGTAAAGTACCAGTCCACAAAGAACTGTAAGATCTTCAATCTCTGTACTTTGACTGACTGATGTATTTTAATGAGCTTTAGTGATTTAAAGAATTAAAATCATTTCAAACAAATTATATAGAAATTTAAAAGAACTTCCGAGTTGAGGAGAAATGTAGAAAAAAAGATAAGGAAAAATGTATTCCACAAATGTTTCTTCTGTATCATGATGCTTAACATGTATTTTATTTATTTTAATGTTCTTCAGAAAAGAAAAAGAGATTCCTTGGAAAGGAAGGGAGACACTTCTGCTCTTGTAGCCACTGGGAGAGAAGTTTCCAGAGCACATGGGCAGACTGGTAGGGGAGCCTAGCGACAAGAGAGTTTGCAGCACACTGGAGATCACTGAGAATGGGGCACAGACAACCTGCCTAAAGTGCAAGCTGACGAAGAGGCTTTTCCTGGCGCTTGGAAGACCATGCAGTCTGCCAAAACCCAGAAAGTGACTGAGCTGGATTTCAGCCAAGCCCTCCAAAAAAGATTTATCCACCAAGAACATGGTAAGATCTTAATTTGCAAGTTCTCTTATTTTCATTGTTTGCTCTTCATTTTAGAAGTTAGCCTTTCTGTTTGTATTTTGAAAAGAAGTAGCTTTTGCTTTTGAAAGCCTTTTGAGCACTTTTGGGCTGTACAGAATGATGTGACAAGACTTTATAAGTTTGACTTTCATATGTTGACATTGTGCATCTTCTCAGATTGGTCTGCGCAAATAATTTGTAAACTCTTCAAACCTTTTTTGTTTGTTTGTTTTTTACCATCCCTGAAACCATGGTCTTCTGACAAGTAGGCTTGGCATCTACTGTCTCCAAATGCTAAAGTAATACATACACTTATACTGAGGTCACACAAGGCATGCTGTTGAATTAAGGTATTAATTTTGTTTTCTCCATTGGATGGGAGTCATTTTGCTCTCCTCATGCAATGCTTGGAATTATCACCTTTTATTAATAGTGCTGTCATGTTTTTGTGACACAGTGACAGATTTGGACCTTTTCCTCTTTAAGCTATATGCCGCTTTTTTCTTTTTTTTTTTTTAAAGTTGTTTTAATTATGTAATTGCAGACAAACTTCAAGACCACCCAAGTTAGGTTAAGATTACAAACAGTTTCATATGATCACTTCCATGAATTTTCCAGTTTTCAGTATTGTTGTACTTTTAAATGGACACCTGGGAAACCTTAATGTTCTGTATATGGTAGTAGCAATTTACTAGTACCTTTGAGACAGCAAAAGCTGTCAAAAAGCCTCAAAAAGTTCACATGAAAGTAGTTATCTCAGATGAGCAATACATCCTAGCCTACCCCAATGAAAGCTACTGGCAAAATACCATAAGTAAAGCAAAGACAATTGCTGACAGGTAACTGATGCTTAGTAATTTGCAACTTAAATTGTTTCATCTTTAGAGGATAGGAACCTGCTCTTTTCAACTGGCTTTTTTTAAGAGTGCTTGATCAGCAAAGTGATATAGTAAAATGCAAGTAAAAACTATTGGAAGGGACTGAAAAGACAGCTTGCTTTTTGAGAAAAGCTGTTGTTTTTACTGTGCTGGGGCCCATTTAGATTCAATTTGCACTGTTTCCTCCAGATTTTATGGAGCTTTTACTTTCATGACTTCGAACAGCATCTCTGTCAAAATCCACATCATAGAATTAGGCCTGTAGAGGCATTTTATGGCACCTTCCCCTGGATAGCTGTAAAAAGAGGAGTGTGTCCACAGTATAACTTCAGATCAGCTAGACAGCTTTCCGTTATTAAAGTAGTCATGCTGCTATACATAAAGGGATCCAGCATTTTCCTCAAAGCTCTCTGTCAAAAGTGAAGACTTCCCTGATTGTTCTATTGGATGTTCTCTATTTTGAAGAGCCTCAGGATAAAAGAAGATATACTTCCAGATGTCTCTGTGAACTCTTATTCTATTATTTGTCTTGTAAAGACATGAAAAATTTCCTAGCTCTAGCCTGTTCAATTTATTATGTATTTTTATAGGCAAAATACTAATAATTGAGAACACAGTAAAAGATCCTGCTCTTCTGCAGTGAGATAAATGTTAAGCAATTCTACTAGGTTTTGTAATGTAACCTGGCCTTTAAAATATATATCATGTAAAACAAAACATGGGATAGATCAAAATATAAGAAAATAATTTAATGGAGACACAAAGTTTGCCAGCATTAGTATGGCAAAAGGAATGAATTATTCAGTCTGCTATGTCTTACTTGGACTGAATGTCGTTCTTAAACATACAATTGGACTGATAATTTCGGCTTTGTTGTTACGCAGTTGCACAGCTTCAAACCAACAGGCAAGCAAACACCAAGTGCCTCCAAGTGGCGTGAGTGCATCCATTGAACTTACTTGCTTACTGTGTTCTCCCATGTAGTACCTGCTGTGTCAAAGTGGAAGGGTTGATGCATTTAAATGAAAAACCTTCTTGTGAGAACTGTCTAACCTAGTCCTCAGGAGAACTAGGCAAGGCAAGAAGGCTACTCAGCAAGAGCTTGAAGTTAATTATGACAGATATTGGCATCCTGTCTGAAAACATGTTTGCAGTGAAACGTTTTAACTGCAGTAGACTGAAATCTGTCACTGTTACCTGAGTTTGTGTAATAGTCTCTAGATACCCTTTAGAGTAAAATGGTTTAGTTGCAGAAGGCACAGTTTCCTGAAAGCCAAATGTTTTACAGTAAAAGATTGGTCAAGCTGAGCAGAAGTGGAAAATGCAATCCAACCTCTCCCAGATTGCTAAATAGCAGATTACAATTAAGCCACAGTTCCAAATGGGAAAATAATTTGATTGCCTTGCATGATCTACAGCTCTTGGTTCTCTTGCCTTTCATTCAATCTACCTTGAATTGGATATTCTGTAATCGTGGATCTAAAACAGGGATTGGTGGTGGTCACAAGTAGGAAGCCCTGGAAGAAAAGAACTTTTCTCCTATAGTCTAGCTGTAAGCAAGATGTTTACAGATTCATAATAGTGATTTGAGAACCTGGGTATGGGGGTTATTGAGAGCTATCAGACACAGGGAATACTTATAGCATCTGCAATGTTAACACCAGTGAGAAGCACATACATGTATGTAAAGCTCTTTGAGAAAGGTGTGACTGAATTTATCACGGTGGTGACAGCTAGACCATACAATGAATAATGCATCTAAATGTCACAATACCAGGAAGGCATCATCTCAAAGAGCATACAAGTTTCACTGCTTGCTGCCCAAGTAGGTGGGAATTTTGCTTGCATATCATTTTTGCTAAAGCCTGCCTGGGTTAATACATCACTGGTAGTATTTCAAGCAAGATCACCTGTTTAATAGACCGTATCTCTTCTCTAGGCTGGAACTGGAGAAGAACAATGGTTTCCTATTAGCAAACTACTTATAGGGAGAAATGTAAATATTTCACTTATCTGTGGGATTTTTTATTTTATTTTATTTTAATTTTTTTTAAGAAAAAAGAATCAGGAAAACTCAAGACATGATCTTTTCTCCCTTTCTGTAAATATGAAAAAACATTATCTACTGCAATTTCTATTTTATTTTGCTATTTATAATGTTAATATTTTTTCACATTTTTCACTTCCTCATAAATCACGTGCAGTAGCTGTTAATTGTGAAGTAACTCAGAATATTAATGAGCACTTCAGAAAGAGAGAGTGGTAAATTCAGGAGTCCTATTGCTGGCTCAAAACGCCGGATGCTTAAATAAGCGTGGGGCTTACATTTGTTGAATTGACAGCTTGTGAGGAAAATACAAGAACAAAGAGGACGGTCCTTAAGAATTTGCTGTGCTATGGAGGACATAAGCATACATTATGTGTACCAGACCACTCAACAATCTCAGGTGATTATTGTTTGCATTGATGCTCTTTAGTATTTTTATTGGACATTGTGAACATGCAGCTTACCAAAGTTCAAAGGCCTATTTTACCTCAGCAAAGAATAAGTTTCTTATCCTGTGTGCTACATAAAAACCTATCATCTGTTCTGTGTCTTTCTTTGGTGGAAGAAGCCCTGTGCTTCCTACAGCAGGCAGTGCTTTTGGTCAGTGGTTCAATTTACCATAATGGTCAGGGCCTAATGACCGAGGAGCAAGCCAGCATGGCAGAGTGGGATGTCTCCTTCAAGCATGAAGGAATGTAAATGAGTGAAAACTTCCTGACTGTGAAGATGGGTGTGTTCTGTAGTTTCAGAGAAAGGCATGGCTCTTAACTGCAAAATAATTCATTGTTATGGTCCTATTTTCCTTCAGTAAGAGGTAAAACTCCCTTTAATTCTTATAACAAATAGAGAGATGACTCTGTAGAGCCCAGTGCCTTGTTCGAGTTACGTGATTCATTCTGTCCTGCATTGCATAAAATAAAAACAGCTGCATATTATACTGCAGTGTTAGTTCTGGGGATCCAACCAGTTTCTGGCATCAGGGAAGCTGTGGTGATCTGCTGAAATTGAAAGGTGGTTTCTGTGTGTGTCTACTGAGCATATCATGATTTACCCATAGATCCTAGAGAGTTCAGCATTGGTATTGGTCAAAGTTATTTCTTAATATGGTTTACGGTTTGTGTTGTAGTTCCAGCAGCATTGCCCATTGGCACCATTTGTCCTGTTAACCTGATTATCATGAGTATCATGGGGGATTATGGTTTGCTGAAACAAAACAGAATCACATTGTTATAGAAGCTTTGGGAGCAACATTCCCTGGGAAGGTTTAGTTGGAATTTATATATGTAGTAGAAATAATATCTCTTGGTTACAACTACACTTCAGTTAACTCGCTTAATTTTGCTCGAATGTCTACAGCATACTGACATATTTTTCTCCACGAATTATATTTATTCTAGTGAATGGTTTCAAAAGAAAGGTTCACAGCATGATACATTATCCACCCAATAAGTATTTTAAAGTAGACCTTTATTTGTCATTTAAAGAAGTAAGAAAAATACCTATTAGTTAGATAAGGTCTGGAACATTTTCATGTTGTCAGGATTGTTACATCAAGACTGTTACATATCAGTCTCTGTTACCCAAACTGACTTGTTTTCCTTCAAATCCTTCCATCCTTTATCCTTACAAAGATAAAAGGGCTGTGTTTTGAAGGGAGAGCATGCTTAATCAGGATGCTCTTTGACAAAATAAATAAATAAATAAATAATTAAGTGCTAGTTCAGAGAGAGGATTTTCTTAAATGTTGTTTGAAGAAATTTTTTGCTCTGTAGTACAGAAAAGGTACAGTGACTTCTGGAGATGTTCGGTGAAGTTGTTAACCATTAGCATTCTGCACATTTACTTGTTTTTCTGTCCACTAATTGTGTAACTGAACCCCCAGATTTGCAGTGGAGAAATACTTGCTGCTTTGGTTGACCTTTATAGAAATGTTCATGATACATGCAAAGTAAGTTTTGGGGTGTGGACAAAAATTGGTTCATTAGCTGCTGGTCACTCCTGTAATTTACTGTTCATTATGTTATTGTTTTCAAAATCAGTGTCATGCAAAGTTAGAAATGTTAAGTATTTTAAATTAAATCTTCACAATATGACACCATTAACGGATCGGATGTTGTCACAGGCAAATACTTAATCAGAGCTTAATCAACAAACTGTAAGGATCAAAATTAGCTGATGATCAAAACAAAATATAAATGTATTCTCTAATTGATTAGAGTAGCTTGGGAGGTCCTGCAAGTCAAAAGATTTTGCTGAGCTGGAATGAAAATCAACCTTTCTTCCTATTTCCTAGACAGAAATATTTAATAGCAGTTCAACAGTCTCTGCACCTGAATAAAAGTAGGAAGATGATGATAGGAAAAAAATGGCTTGTAAAAATGCCTGATAATATGATGAGTGCTACTGTAAATGTGCCAATTTAATCAGGACTGTGGGTGGGGGCTGTGGGGGAAGTCTTCCAATGAAATAGATTTTTTCCAGTGTAGATTTTTGTCTTGCACATAAAAAAAATCACTGTTAATATGTGTATATATTAATATTAATGTATATTATATTAATATATATGCAGCATATGTATATATAAAGGAGAAACAATAGCAGGAGAAAAGAAAAAAAACAACAACAACAACAAAAAAAACACTACTTTGCATCAAGAAGATCATTTTTTCAACCAAAATCTACCTAATCAACCTAAATCTAGCTTCTGTGATGTCCCAGGGATGGGAATTGTCGTAGTATATCACTTAATCCCGTGAAGAAGGAGGGTCCCTGTGTATCACAAGTGTGTGACACAGGCAGGGAGCGCAGTCATCCTGCTGGGCAGAGTGGCTCTGCCATGTGGGCAGTTCTCAGATGCAGCTTTTCCAAACCATCATATTTTGATTCTGGGCCAAAATATTTCAGATTGCTGGACAGACAGAGATAGCAAAAAATAAAAAAATAAAAAGACTGAAAAAAGTTTTTTGTCAGTAGATTTATTTTAGGAGTAGCAGTACTACAAATAATGTACAAAACCAATATAAAACAGATCAGTGTCGCAGTATATCAGCCTGGTGAGGCAGAAGGAAGCTAGCAGAAGTGTTGACACATGAAGTTTGCAGTGAGAGAGTTGGGGTCAGCCTGAATATATACATGAACCAATCCTTGAGTTATTTTTATATTACTTTAGGCTAATTTTATTTCCCACTTACCACTGCCACCATAGAAAGCGTGAGAAGTGCTCCCAAATTTTGGTGCCCCAAAAGCATTACAGCTCAGGGAGCTTGGACTGTTTCTAAGCACAAGAACCAAGTAATGCTGGCCTGTGCTATTTGCAGAGACCTACGTGTACCCTCACTGAAGCACAGAAAAGATCTAGCAAAGACTTCATAGATAAAACTCACAGGGCAAGGACTCGTGGAAGGCTTTGTCATCAGTCACTGGAGAATTAAAGAAAAATATTTTTTTCTGGGAAAAGTAAATAAAGGCATATTTATAAATAACTTATTTTCATACTTCAGGGGATGGAGGGTATTATTGCAGGCCATCTCTCATCTAATTATATTTGACATAAAATAATTATTTTTCTTTTAAGAACGCATCCAGTAAAATGAAATGAAAATGAAAAAGCTGTCAAGCATGCAATTGTAATGGTGTAGTCTGAAAAGCTGGAAAGTGAAAAAGATGGCATATTGAGAGAGACATCTAATTTCTGAGTCCTGAAGTTTAATTTTGGTTGCACATGGCACTCTTAACAATAATAGAAGGGAGGAAGAAAAATAAATACGACAATTTGTCGAACAAAAGTTTGTGCATCTCAGAAATAAGAGGAAGCAAAGGCTTAGAAGGACACAACCAGGGAAACTGGCCTTTCTTCTTCCAAAGTAGGGCAGCTTCTTGCTCAAATTCTCAGTCTAATTCTCTGTTATATTATTCCTAAATACATCATCCATATTGTGATGGTCTATGATGAGCAGTGCACCTGTAATTCAGCAGCCTAGTAAAAGGAGGCTACAATTTTTCAGAACTGTTTTGTCATTTTTCCAGATGCAGGCAGTTGAATGCTGCACAGCATCAGCTGCTGGGTGCACTGCACAACATGGCATATTGCAAAATAAATTGGCTAGCCTGCTCCTTAAAAAACATTCCAGGACAATTGCTAGACAAAAAAAAAAAAAAAAAAAAAAAAAAAAAAAGTAATAACATTGAGGTATAGGTATGAGATGAAAAGAAACAAAAACTATTAAATGAAAGAAAAAAGTTATCTGCTGTGCAACCTATATCTTTCCCATCAGAATGCTCAGCAACTTCGGGATATTGTTCTTCTCATTGGTTCCAGCTGTCTCCAATTAATTATGTTAGTTTATTATTGTAAAGATCCACAACTATTCACCAGGGGCATAATTATTTTGGGGAGAAAGATACGCTATTAAGTACATTTTAGATTTTTTCTTTTCTCTTTGCATCTCGCCCTCTTTGATCTAAACATTTTTTTGTTTTGTTTTCAAATGCCTAAATCTAGATATTCTGGCAATACGGACATTTTATAAATTATCTGTCTCTGCCTAGCAACTGTATCAACGTTTCAGGGACAGTAAATGATTTACAACAACTCAAAATGTAACGTTGAGAAACCTCACAAGCCATGCTGGCTCTTATGCTATCCTTGAGAGAACTCATTTGCAGTGAAAGCCATGCCACTAAGGATCTTTCTAAAACTCAGATCACCCTTGCTGTTGACAGCTTAATGTCCTAGCTTGGAAGAAATGCAACACTTGACACCCTGTCAGCCCTTTACTGAAGTTTCAGCTTTGAGGTCTACAGCTAAAATATTTGCAGATCAGTCATGAAGGTAGGTTTTCTTAAGAAAATAAATTGGTGTACAAAGTTACATAGCAGCTTTAACTCAGCCAATTATATTCAGTTTTATTAATTTTCCAGTGCCATAGCAACCATCATGGGATTATGGCTTTCCTAGAATATGGAGGGGGAATAGACCTACATGTATTCTAACAGTTTTCCTGTATCTTTCTAAATTGCAGAAGAGCAATGCATGAGAAGGTAGAAAGGTAGGTATAATCAGGAAGGTTCAGGCAATGACAGGAGTGTAAGCTGTAATACGTTTTGAGGTTGACTGGTGGGTATTTCTCTTCCCTTTTCATTTTGCCACTGCTAGTTGCATCCTTTCTGTCACATGCTAATTTTTTTCCTAAGGCTGTCTGTATTCTCATCCCAGCTGCCAGAAGGAATCTAAATGAAGCATCTAAGCTGGGTGAGAGCGCAGTTGAATTAAGATTATTTGAAATTAAGAAGATCTTGCACAAATAGTTCTAATCAACATGTCTTGCTTGAACAGAGGTTTGAATACTGAACTGTAGGAGTAGGAGACATTTATATTTTAATGACATGAAGTAGGGCATGGGGCAGGACCCCTGAATTTCCCTGGTACAGTCTTTGTCTTCAGGATAGGAGTGGCTTATTGATGGCACATCTGAAGTTGTTCATGTCTGGTGGTTACAGTGCTTGTACCTTAGAGAACAAGTCAGGGACTGGAATACACTTGTGATACTTGTGATGAAAGCTGGACAAATGCAGAAATAAACAACAAAAAACCTAAAGCCCCAAATAAATACCCCTAGTCTGACTTCAAACTGGATATTCTTAAGGCAGAGCAGTTGGATGCCAGCAGCCAGAGGATAATTAACAGGAAGGCAATATTCTTCAGTATGATGCTCTTGAGAGCTTTGGAAAGGCAAGCCATTGAATTCTGATTAGGCAGCAGAACCCGGGAACTGTGATGAGTGAATTGGATAAGGTGGAGTACAACAGAATCTTACACTGATATATCCCATAAACTTTTGGCTACGTCTGTTTTCATCACAATTGCTTTTTTAGTTACGTTAAACTTAAGCACAGATGTATAAAAAATGTGATTAAATGTTCTGTGCTAGGTTGGAAAAAAAAAAAAAGTAAAATGGAGCTGTAGCAGCCCTATCATTGTCCTTTAGGTTTCATGCAGCATTCATGGGGAGTCTTTTGAAAAAGAATCAGAGTTCAGCAAATATGCATGCTAGAAAAGCCTGTGACAAATCCTGATGGTACCCTGTGGCTTTATACCAGCTAAAAATACACATTATTATAAGGAAAGTAATCATGGTTGTATTCTTAAGGCATCTTCCCGAAAGGTGCCGTATTTCTATGTCTTCGCTAAGAAAATAGCTGCCGTCCCTGGCCTGCCAATAGGTAAACAGTTTGCCTAGTTTCCTTGCAGCTCTGTGCTTAGAAATGCTCTTAGTGAAGGGCAAAGGTGTCAAGAGATTCTACTTGGTGGTGCTTGAAAAAAATCCCTGTGCTTATGCGTTTCTAAGTCTTCTGATTGAAGTCCATTGCAGGCTTACAGAGGGCGCAGGCTGGTATCTCTGTGACAGCTCTTCTCGTGGTGTGAGTTAGAAGAGATCCAGTGATGTTACCAGAGCTAGAACCACCCGACTGGAAGCTGACACATGAAGCCACAGAAAGGTTTAGAGAGTAAACTGTCCAGCTGTTTATTACAAACAACATATAATTTTAAGTGTATGGTTACGATTCAATTTGGTCCAAGCACTACATATGTTGCAGTAGAAATCTTGAGCAGTAATTTCCCCTGTCATAGAGCCCACATCCTAGCAAATTCCCCATCTTGGAACACTTCAAGTGAGAAGGAATAAGCTAAAACAGAGCAGAGTGCAGGAGAGGTCTCCCTCTCTGTGAGCAGTAATCTCTTAATGCTCTGAGATGCTTGTCTCAAATCCTCTAACCTGCAAAATGAGGTTGCTGTTGCTGTATTTCTTAGCTTGTCGTCCTGGATGTCACTGTTAGCTATTACTAAGTCTTTCAAGGGAAAGGAAAAAAAAATATCAGATTTTGAAACCATTCCATCTGTATTTGGCAGTAGCCAAATATACTGCTTTACAGCTATCCTGGAGTTTGACAATAGGGTAAAATAAACATTAAAAAAAAAAAAGGTCTGTGTTTCCAAAAGGCTTTAGAGTGTGAGCAAGCTCAAGGCTCCTGGTGCCTCTTCTGAGCTCTCAAAGCTTCTGAAAGTACTAATCCAAGTAG